AATAAACGTCAATTTACAACCTCTTTCTTCGTAGTGGTAGTCGATCGCGAATTGTAAGGTACAGAACTCTTAAATTATAATCAATACCTGAAACCGTTTGTGCGCATAATGGCAGGGCTAATACAATAATACCAACGTAACTATTTGACTATGGATACTAAAAGCCATTCATAGAAACGAAACGTAATATTAATTAAATTTATTGAATTGAACTGCTCACCAAAAACAAATGAAATAATAATACATTCAGACTTATGACTAACTAGCGACCCGCCCTCGCTTCGCTTCGGAAACATTAAAACACATATGAAACAAAAAAATAAATAAAAAAAAAAGTAGCCTATGTTCATCAGGGACAGTGTCGGCTTCTAATGGAAAAAGAATTTTTCAAATCGGTCCAGTAGTTTCGGAGCCTATTCGAAACAAACAAACAAACAAATATTTCCTCTTTATAATATTATTATAATTATAATTATTAATATTATAATATAATTATAATTATAATAATATAATATAATATTAGTATAGATGCAAAGAGTCCGATACTTTCTTTTGTGTTATTATTACTGTTTACTATGAAGTTTGCTGCTTGTCTGTATAGTCAATAAAAAAAATCGGATGTCTGTAAAGTCGGTTTACTGACGATAATTGTACGTGACAACGTCATAAGAAAATACGCCTCAGAACGAGGTAACGCCGCATGAGTCATGTTTTTTCGTGCGTGCAGCCGGCTCCATCGAATTATGAGACGTTGTCACGTCAAAAATCAATATCATTATAAAAGTAACAGTACTATAGAGGAACAAGTTTTTAAGGGAACATACACACATGACATAATATTAACGCGCTATTTCTGCGAGACCCGTAATAAAAGCAACCGATATTATCGCGTCGACGTACTCATAAGAAAACTGACCTCGGCCGAGTGAACAAACCTCTAATCGAAGACGAGGGCGCGCCGGGGCCCAGAGCATAAATCAGGCTCCCCTCGCGATGACGCCCGCCGCCGGAGCCTTCAATTTGGCACATCCTTAAAATGACACACGAGACGCGCGCCCCTAACGACACGACCGCGTCAACTCTCGCACGGCTTATAAATAATAAATAAAAATAGGAACCATATCATTATTAATATTAAGTAGCTTTAAATTCGAATTCGAATTCGAAGTCGTCGTGGCCTAAGGGATAAAACGTCCGGTGCATTCGTGTTGAGCGATGCACCGGTGTTCGAAACCCAGGCGGGTACCAATTTTTCTAATGAATTATGTACTCAACAAATGTTCACGATTGACTTCCACGGTGAAGGAATAACATCGTGTAGTAAAAATGAAATCCGCCAAATTATAATTTGCGTAATTACTGGTGGTAGGACATCTTGTGTGTCCGCGCGGGTGGGTACCACCACCCTGCCTATTTCTGCCGTGAAGCAGTAATGCGTTTCGGTTCGAAGGGTGGGGCAGCCGTTGTAACTATACTTGAGACCTTAGATCTCAAGGTGGGTGGCGCATTTACGTTGTGGGTGTGTCTATGGGCTCCAGTAACCACTTAACACCAGGTGGGCTGTGAGCTCGTCCACCCATCTAAGCAATAAAAAAAGACGTGTGGCACTCGGAGACTGCCGCGGTAAAGCTATTGCATAGCATTTTTTATCAACTTATGCAATTGTAAATCGACAATAATAATTTAATATTAAACCAACAATAAAATAAGATCCGACGAGAAACTCAGTGGGCTAACTTTCAATGAATCTGCTACATTGTGAGTATTCCATTTTGACCGTGCACTCACTAGAGGGCGCTACATGGGATAGAGACACGCCTTTGGATGTTAGTTCTAACTCTCATTCGCCCAGAATCAACGGTTTATCTAGTTTATTTTTAATGCCACTCCAATCACTGAATGAGTAGTAGGAGTAGTAACAAAATTCTTCGACTAAGCGATAGAAAATGGCACGCCCAACGCATTGTAATGTGATATAATTTTCTATTTTACAATTCCATTTGTCGCCGATAGATGGCGCTTGACGAAAAAGCTGAATCGAGCTATCGTTGTGTTACCCACGAAATTATATCACATATTTTGATAGTACATAAATCGGTGTTTAGACTTCTTAATTTAAACACCACACAAGCGCAACGTGTGAATGTGTTGAACGCGAGCTACATAGCAGGCGTAGTGAGGGGTGGAAGGTTTTTTTCGTTACGGAATTTCACGATTCCGCTCTCAAGCCCGCGATAAAATCTATGCAATAGCTTTAAAACAAAGTTATTAATGTTAAGTAGCTTTAAATTGAATTCCATCGTATCAAAAACGTATCGCCGGCTAAAAAATTAATTTTCAATAAGTTCAAAAGTATTCAAATCACGTCATTACTATATTGTCTACGTATTTATATTTGTGACTCGTCCAAATGTATAGTACTAATCCAGCCACCGAAGTTACAATCTGTCGAACAGTGTATACACATGTAGCGGGGTAATAGCAATCAGGGCGGCATCGTAGACAAACTGTCGGGTCGAACCTTAATTGGCGGTCGCCGAGATTTATGCGGGGAGCTCGTCACTACGCCGCGACCGCATCGCCGCCGACCCACCGCACCACTCCGACGGTCAACCCTTACCAAACATCGCCCAAAACTTATTAACACATTAGCGAAGTGTTACGATATAGCTTTCGTGGGTCGATTTTGTGTAAAACCTAATTATTTGCGGTAACATAATTTCGTGATCAACTAAAACGATTTTGGAAATCCTGGAATTGGTATTATCGGCATCACTCTACTATTTAATACACACACTACTATTTAATACACAATAGTTGTTTGAAGGCAAAAATAAGCAAGCTGGTGGTAGTGGCACGTTCTGGTACACAACATGTTACCAGCGGTATCAGCTGTTTGAATTTATTAATTAGTTAATTTGTCATGTATGTCATACAGAAGAATTACTTCACAACTAAATACGTAAGTATATTGCTCTTAATGTCCGGCATCCGATAGAATCCGATCGAACCAACAAAAAAATTAACGCATCATAAGATTTAGCAGAAGTTGACACAATTATTAATCATGGCAAATAAACAAGACTTCTTATCAGTCGCTTACTCGGGAAGCTACGCTTTTAAGCTCGATAACGACCCGCCAGGAATTATTAGTATAAAATTATTACAGTGGCCACATATTTCTTTTAAAGTTTCCAGCGAGCTCTACTGTTATTAATACATCACAACGTTACGATTTGAACAACATTATGAAATACGTGATCTCCTTTTTGCAGTAAACCAGCGTCTTCAAGTAAGCGGAAAATTGCATATTTTTTTATATTCTTATTACACGATTACTCAAGCGAACGCCGTACAAAGGATCGTAGAGTACGCTAGAGTTATAAAAGATAACGCAGATGAAATTAAATTGACAAAGAAAGCGGCGACGTCGACGTTGGTTCGACATATTATTTTAAAAAGAAAATTTAAAATCACGTTTGGTATTCAAAGTATTCAAAGAGAGTTAGTTCAAAGTGTTCGTGGACACAAAAGAGTAGATTCAACTCAAAATATCTATTCGAAAAATATTCACTAAACTAACATATTTTACATACTTTAAATTAATTAAAAAATTAAATACTGGTTTGGCATATTGTCTTTTTTATTCATGCCGTTAAACAAGCGTGTATTTCGCTTTGAAAGACAAAATAGCCGTTATTGTAATGCAATAAGGTCATCGACTTTACGTTTCAAGGTGGGCCGCGGCATTGACAGTTTCATACTTATGGACACGAACATCAGGTCGTGAACTCGTCTGCTCACCTACGTTATTTAAAATTAATATTATTTACAAGTCATTGGAAAGGTGGTTGTGTAGTTTTCAAAAAAAATCCTAGAATTTTACACCGGATTTAAATCTAGAATTCGTTCGTATCAAGAGGTATTTCGAGACGTTAGGGGCGTTGTTTTTACAGGACGCCAAGAGGACAGGAGGGGTGGAACTAGCCCTCTCGTTGCGAGGGGGCAGCGGTGCCGTTTTCAATTTGCTTTATTTGCGCTTGTTTTAATAGCGTTCCTCCTTATTGCCCTCGCGGACGACCAGCCAAATTGCTTCGTACTCAGTCGCCTTTTGATTAAGAATGTAACGTGAGATCGGACCACGAGCAAAACTAGTAATGAATTGGTCTTTTCCCAACTCGATAAATATGACGTAAGAAAATTAAAAACATAAACTGTCGTGTAATAAAAATATATTATATCAACGGAATGATAATTATAGTCACTCAATTATCCATCCACTGAGCAGTTGACGTGTAAAAGGACCTCATTTAACCGAGTTGGCTTCTCACATATACTCGTATTTGGCATAAATTACGGCCTTACCCATACGTCACAAAAATATTTAATACCTATACTTTTATACTTCTACAGAACTACAGCATGTGGTAAGACAAGAGTTGGGTAATCTATGAATTAATTCCACGAAGATAATGCCATAATTTTCACTACACTAAAGCACGGTTGTTCGATTGGTTAACTATAATTTCATTTCCATTCTAGATGCTCTATGACCAAATACAGGAGCTCCTTAGATGAAGCAACATGATTGCCGCTTTTCACCTGTAAGCCTGAGGCCAAATCTCAGTGTCGTATCAACGATACATTTTATCATAATTTTACTACTCCATCCAATAACAACATCTACTTTCCGAATTTCATTTTTCTAATACCAGTGGTTTCGGAGTAAAATGGCTGTCATGTGACTAACGAACTGAACGTCGTAATTTTTCCGATGATAGATTTTGGAATCCGGTGATAGATTCTGCAAAGCACTGCTCTTGCTAGGGCCAATGTTAGCAAATTCTCTCAGGTTGAGCCCGTGAGCTCACCTCTCGGTCCGGGCGTAGCTGGAATAGAACCTTAAGCAACCAGCGAATAGGTAGGAAAAAAATCTAATTTATCACTTGAATCTTTTGCTATCCGCCTGAGAGACTTGAATGAGACCTTAAATGACTTACCTTAGCCAATGCCGTTTCGCTATGGCGGTGTGACAGCAGATCGCGTCGTACTGATCAGCAATCCAAACGATCAAGATGATGTAAAATGCTGTTGTGGTATCGTTGAAAAACTCTGACATTATGGCTTCCATTCCTGTAGAAAGAAAGAAAAATATATTCAGTTTGCTTTCTCCATCTACGATTCCTTCATAAGCGCATAATACTACTACTTATGATCTAAAAATAAATTATTGAAATATTTTCAAATCAGAAGTACTTCTTCGACTATTTTACAAATACGAGGGCTCTTAACGATGTCTGAGCCCGAGATTCATTGAAACGATAGAATTATTATACACTTCCATCTCAAGATGGATGCATAATCCGGCTGTATTCTCCGTTTGCAAAAATATCATAAAACAATGCTGCTTTAGTGTTATGACCGTTCCATTTTTTTTAAATAAAATCTTAAAATGTTAAAATCAAATCTGCGGGTACAATACGTTTTTAGGTGTTAATAATTTTTAGGAACTTGCTTTTTAATGGAGTAGATAGGTAGACTAGCTTACGGTCTATATACGGAACTCATGGGAATCGAAAGACGCTTCGCGATGCCCATTTCGCAATAAGAGGTTCAAATCGAAATAATATTAGAAAAACTGCTATCGGACCCTTTTCAAATAGGGCGCGTAACGTTTTTGCGACAGAAATGGGTAAGACGCGAGACCGCCCCGACTGAGCTTACTGCAAGCTCGCTGCAACATGCACTCATAAAGTCTTCCGAGGCTCAAAAGAGCTTACTGGTCGAGTGAACTATTTTGAGCTTTTAGTTATAGGTTAAATACTTGTAGCGGGTAGCCATCATACAAAACAAGTTAATTAACAGATGCCTGAATCTCGCTTACGACATTTTCAACAACATAAGCGTGCATGTAGACAAGTTCCGAACAACAACATTCGGACCGTCGATCTACCAAGCAATATCACCGGCCTTGTGGAAGATTTTCCCTCCGTCGTTATAACCACATGCTAATCAAGTACACCGCACAGCACACGCCGCACGGCTAGCCCACGGTCGAGGTTAACACGAAATTCGTTGTCACATTAAGTATCGCGGGTCATATGTGACAGCGACACCAGAGACGAGTCGTCGGGTGTCGAACTAATTAGGTGCCAACAATTACACGTTAACGACCGAAACCTGAGCGCACCCGCCACGAGCTTATTAACCGCACACATGCATCGGTCTCGCAGCACTACGACGAGGCAATTCATTTAAGCAGCTTTATCAGGGCCAAGTGTCTTCAACTTGAAAACGTAAGGAGATTGGGAAGTTCGTCTCGAGACATTTGAAAGCTCAAATACGTGCTTGGATGTAGAAATTTCTAAGTTGAGGATTAAATTTCAGGTAATATTAGCAAACATTTCGATATGGTAGACACGAATAATACGAAACAATAGGCCATCAGACGTAGGAATATAACTCAATAGAAGGCGGACAACTGTCCGGCGTCGCGGGCAGGGCGTGCCTTATTTGCATTTTGATGAGGCCCGACACTGATACAATAAACACGTTAGGGGACTATCGGAAGTCCGGCAACCGCCCGCCACTCGACCCGGCAACGTTTAACCGAATCTATTCATAACCGTGTCGCTCAATTAACTCTTGCTCCGAGTTATAACATGGTGACGTCTATACTTCGTCTCGACTTAACTTAATTGATCTTATAAGAATTCTCTTTTTTTATTGCTTAGATGGCTAAACGAACTCGCAGCCCACCTGATGTTAAGTGGTTACTGGAGCCCATAGACAACTACAACGTAAATGCGCCACCTACCTTGAGATATAAGTTCTAAGGTCTCAGTATAGTTACAACGGCTGCCTCACCCTTCAAACCAAACCGAAACGCATTACTGCTTCACGGCAGAAATAGGCAGGGTGGTGGTACCTACCCGCGCGGACTCACAAGAGGTCCTACCACCAGTAATTACGCAAATTATAATTTTGCGGGTTTGATTTTTATTACACGATGTTATTCCTTCACCGTGGAAGTTAATCGTGAAAATTTGTTAAGTACGTATTTCATAAGAAAAATTGATACCCGCCTGCAGAATTCGAACACCGTTGCATCGCTAGATACGAATGCACCGGACGTCTTATCCTTTAGGTCACGATGACTTGGAAACGTAAGATTAACATTAATTTTGTGGTACTAATACAGTTTCATAATCGCTATTAATATCCAATATGTTTATGATTATTAGCAAAAAAAGACTTAACGAATATTGTTTAAATTTTATTGTGACCTTTTTTTCGATGGTTCTAAACTAATAAGCACTAGGTTTAGGAGCACAGTGGAGTCTTCGCTGGCACTTGCAAAAAGTCACCGGCAGTTACCTATTCAACGGAGCATGCGACGTAATCCCGAGCAAGACGAGTAAACAAATTACCCGGGCCGGGTCGGACCGTGGACGTGACGCCGACGGTCCTCTATTAATTTTAATTCCGGCACTACGCGAAGATCACCGAAGATGGGCGACAGGCACGCGCTGCCTCCATCGGAAACGGAATCAGCGAGAAATTATTGAAACAGTGCAGTATTTACGTACATAAGACGGCATAATGAAATATTGTTTTTTCTCTTCTCACTTGTCGTTTGCTGCAGAATTCAATTTATTGTACGGAATAAATATATATATAAATGAATTGCTGTTCGTTAGTCTCGCTAAAACTCGAGAACGGCTGGACCGATTTGGCTAATTTTGGTCTTGAATTATTTGTGGAAGTCCAGAGAAGGTTTAAATGGTAGATAAATATGAAAATGCTCGGAATTAAATAGAAATAACACTTTTGTTTTCCCTTTGATGTGTCCCCCGTCGGACGGATTCTTTTTGTTTGTTTTAAGTTTGTTTTATACAAAATATCTTTTATTTATCGATTGAGGCACTACGAAGTCTGACGGGTCAACTAGTTCTACGATAAATATACGGATTTGAGATATTCGTTTTTTTCTTTACTTGACAAAACTATTATTACAAAAAGTAGATATAAATTTAACTACATTCACATACATAAAGTAGCGCTCTGCGATAAGTTAGAAAGTGTCAATACCAATTCGCGAACCAGAAATACAAACTACAGGTGATCCGCGGATGTATCAGCAGTGCACAATCAAAAAAAAACTTTCTACGGGAATCAACAAATTATGAATAAAAGAAATTTTAGTATTATTCACACAATTTAAGTCAATATTCTGCAATATAAATTGTAAATACGAACGGTTGATATGGAATTGGTTTCAAAAAGCAATAAAAATTTATTATGATTTCGAGTCGCTTCTCTGTTGTTACAAGCGAATACTAATAAAGTAATTGATGTATCGTAGGTAAATCTTCTTAATCAAAATATGCTAATATTATAAATGCAAAAGTTTGTAGGATGGAAGGATAAATAATTTCGATGGATAAATGTGAATAAATAAAGTAAATGTGGCAAATAATGTTTGTTACTCTTTCACGAAAAACTTGGTAAATAGATTTTTATAATTTAATATTTTATACACATAAAAAAATATATATTTTAAAGTACGTCCAAGCAATGATAGGTGTGAGTTGTTTCACAAAATTATTAATTTAAGAATTTTGACTGTATTTTTACATACACTAGATTAGACCAATTTAAGCTGGTTAGTTAGAATGAGCGGCAGTGGTTTTAAAGATAATAATTATTTTCGAGATCTCAATATGGCCAAACTAAAAAATACAACAATTACTGCAAGCTTAGTCTGTTTCGAGCTAAACGCTGGTATAATTCTGAGAATACTACTGCCCGTGCTTCAGTCAATCCCTTAGTAGCCACCGGTCACCGTCCTCGTCGAACCCGTCGCTTGCGACGAAGGGCTCGACGAGCGAACTAACCCATAGACACAGCCCACTGAGTTTCTCGCCGGATCTTCTCAGTGGGTCGCGTTTCCGATCCGGTGGTAGATTCTGCGAAGCACTGCTCTTGCTAGGGTCAGTGTTAGCAACTCTCCGGTTGAGCCTCGTGAGCTCACCTACAAACGTTAGGGCGAAGCTGAAATAGCCTCTCAAGGCTATCAGCATAGGTAGGAAAAAAAAAAAGTAGCCGTTTACGACACCCACAGGTAGAGTTGAGTGATGCTATGAGCGTTCTAGGCCAAAGGACGTTAATAAAAAGGAAAATAATAATTGAAAAATAATGTCTGTCTGCTATCCTTGATGTTACCAACATGATTTTATACAAACAAACATTGATTGTCTACGCACTCTACTAATAACTACTAATACTCTACTGAACTAATTACTTTTTAAAGTTTTTTTTTAACCAATGGCAATGAAATCTTTATTATAAACTAGTTTTTGCCCGCGACTTCGTCCGCGTGGAATAGTTACTTTGGCATAACGCTAAATTTTACCTGCGACTTCATTTACATAGAAAGAAAAAAAAAACGATTTTGAAACATTCTTTATTGGTGCTCCGTTTGTATTGGTCTTAGCGTGATGTTACACAGCCTTCCTCAATAAATGGGCTATCTAACACTGAAAGAATTTTTCAAATAGGACCAGTAGTTCCTGAGATTAGCGCGTTCAAACAAACAAACTCTTCAGCTTTATAATATTAGTATAGATACTGTATAAATACTTGGTTACAGATTTTTACTAACAATACGATATAATATGAATATTTATGTGAGTTATGAAACTAGATTTGTCGTTTTTCAAACAGTGACGTTTTAGGCGACATTAAAAGTTTAAGGGCTGCTTTGATTATTTGGATTTATTGTCAAATTATATAATACATATTACATGGTATATATGACAGTAATAAATGCGATTTCTGAGGCATGCGTTCCGTGCTAGTCAAACTTGTAATCAGTGGAAGAAATGCACACAAATTGTTAGTTCTTACTTCCTCAGTTTAATCAAGGGGGACACCCGCAGAGCTTGGCGGCGCAACTGTACCCTTCCTACGACTTGGTGCAAATTGAGAATAATGGATCCAGTGCGGCATTTTAGGTTTACTCAAGGTGTTTTTGTAATATTTTTTATTTTATGATAGCCGTACAAAGGTAAACGTTTCGACTGTCTACATTTACTCTAGATTTTGAAGCAAATCAGTTTAGTTAATCTCTG